CTTTGACGATTGCGTCTCAGGAGGCAGACCCTGCTTCCCTAGTGTACCGCAAAGATTTGGGCTGTGTGTGGGCCAATCCTCTCTCTCCTCTCCACCTTTGTCCCCAGGTACTCTGTGGACATCCCCTTGGACAAAACTGTCGTCAATAAGGATGTCTTCAGAGATCCTGCCCTTAAACGTAAGGCCCGACGAGAGGCCAAGGTCAAGTTTGAGGAGAGGTGAGTAGGCTTCGGCAGTGAGTGGTTGAGTATGATTTCACTATGTCCATTCCTCTCCTCATTCGTGTCCTTTATTCCCTTCTAGATACAAGACAGGCAAGAACAAGTGGTTCTTCCAGAAGCTGCGGTTTTAGATGCTTTGTTTTGGTCATTAAAAAATTAAAAAAAAAAAAAAAAAAAAGCCTGTGTCTGCCTGCTGTGTGTGTTACCAGACTGGAAAACAGAGAACATTATTGAATAAGAGACACTGGGTGATGGATGAGGGGCTGAGAAAATACAAAAGTTAAATCTGCCTTAATGAGATTTATACTGCCTTTGTCCTTAGCCTGATAATCCCTATGAAGAATTGTGTAGCGTGCCTGGCTTCTACCCATTGCACGCCAGGAGAGCCTCTGCCACACTCTGCCCCTCCTTGTGACAACCAAAAGCCCCTGAGTGGTGGCGATTGGGTATTTTTGATTGAGAACCACTAACCCCGAATTCTCCAACCTTAGCACAGATAGAGGTCACCTGGATGGTTTGTTAAACCACAGATGCCGCCTCAGACTGATGCAGTAGGTCTGAGTGTTTCTAGCAAGTTTTCAGGTGACTCTGGTACTAGTGCAGGTGAGATGGGGACCACAGATGCCAGTGGTGAAGCCCTGAGCCTAGAACAGCTGTTGAATAGGACAAAGGAGCGCTCCTCAAATGGCCAGAGACTTGAAAGAAAGTGATCAGAGGGGCTTGGGCATTGGGTTGTGCCATTACTGTGTAGTAGAGACATTTGGCCCTTAGGATCTGGCATTTTACCTCAGTGTATCAGTAGCCGTATGGATGAAATAGGTGCTCCATCTGAATTCGTTCTGTCACTAGGGGGAACTAAGATTCAAACAGGCCAGTTTGCCAAATCTGCTGGATACCACACTTGCTATTTGGGAACTGGAGGGATCAGGAGTGGCTGGAAGGGGCCGAAAGTAGGATTGGTGAGTAAAGAAAAAACCTTGGACTAGATTATTAAGGAACTTTTTTAAAGACAGAGTCTTGCTCTGTCTTTTAAAAAAAAAAAAAACTCCAGTTGTCCAGGCTGGAGTGCAGTGCTGTGATCTTGGCCAGTTTTCTGCCTCAGCCTCCCAGGTAGCTGGGATTACAGGTGCTCTCACCACACCCAACTAATTTTTCCATTTTTAGTGGAGATGAGGTTTCACCATCTTGGACAGGCTGGTTATTAACTCCTGACCTCATGATCCACCTGATTCAGCCTCCGAAAGTGCTAGGATTACAGGTGAGCCGGTGAGCCACCGAGCCTGGCCAGGAAGCTTTTCTGAGATGGGAGTTCTCTTTCGCCCACGCAGTCTGAAGTGAAGTGGTACAATCTCTCCTCACCTCCGCCCCAGGGTTCAAGTGACTTTCCTAACAGGCCTCCCAAGTAGCTGGGATAATAGATGCCTGGCTAATTTGTATTTTTTATTTTTTTGAGACAGTCTTGTTCTGTTACCAGGTTGGAGTGCAGTGGAGTGGTCCTGGCTCTCTGCAACTTCCCATTTGGTTTCAAGCAAGTTTTCTGTCTCAGCCTCCCAAGTTAGCTGGGACTGCAGGCACCCACCACCATGCCCGGCTGATTTTTTTGTAGTTTTAGTAGAGATGAGGTTTCACCATGTTAGGATGGTCTCAATCTCTTGACCTCATGGTCTGCCCGCCTTGGCCTCCCAAAGTGCTGGGATTACAGGCGTGAGCCACCGCGCCCAGCCTAATTTGTATTTTTAATACAGATGGGTTTTCACCATGTTGGTCAGGCTGGTCTTGAACTCCTAACCTCAGGTAATCCACCCACCTTGGTCTCCCAAACTGCTAGGATTACAGACGTCAGCCACCATGCCTGGCCATTAGGACACTGTTGGGTTTTTTAATTTGTTTTTTTGTTTGTTTGTTTTTGAGATGGAGTTTCGCTCCTGTTACCCAGGCTGGAGTGCAATGGCGCGATCTCGGCTCACCGCAACCTCTGCCTCCTGAATTCAGGCAATTCTCCTGCCTCAGCCTCCTGAGTAGCTGGGATTACAGGCATGTGCCACCATGCCCAGCTAACTTTTTGTTATTTTTAGTAGAGACGGGGTTTCACCATGTTGACCAGGATGGTCTCGATCTTTTGACCTCGTGATCCACCCGCCTCGGCCTCCCAAAGTGCTAGGATTACAGGCTTGAGCCACCGTGCCCGGCCTTTAATTTGTTTTTTTTGACGGAGTCTCGCTCTGTTGTCAGGCTGGAGTGAAGTGGTGCAATCTTGGCTCACTGCAGTCTTCACCTCCCAGGTTCAAGTGATTCCCCTGCCTCAGCCTCCCAAGCAACTGGGACTACAAGTGCATGCCACCACACCCAGCTAATTTTGTGTACATTAGTAGAGACAGGACTTCACTGTGTTGGCCAGGATAGTCTCGATCTCCTGACCTCGTGATCTGCCTTCCTCGACCTCCCAAAGTGCTGGGATTACAGGCCTGAACCACTACACCCAGCTTTATTTTTGTTGTTACTAGTTCCTGAGTTGGAGTCTTGCTCTGTCACCCAGGCTGGAGTGCAGTGGCACAATCTCAGCTCACTGCAACCTCTGCCTCCTGGGTTCAAGTGATTCTCCTGCCTCAGCCTCCTGAGTAGCTGTGATTACAGGCCTCTGGTTAATTCTTTTTTTTTTTTTTTTAAGTAGAAACGGGGTTTCACCAGCTTGGCCAGGCTGGTCTTGAACTCCTGACCTCATGATCCACCTGCCTCGGCCTCCCAAACTGCTGGTATTACAGGTGTGAGCCACCACGCCCGGCCTCATTAGGAAATTTTTTTTTTTTTTTTTTTTTTTTTTTGAGACAGTCTTGCTGCATCACCAGGCACCAGGCTGGAGTGCAGTGGCATGATCTCGGCTCACTGCAACCTCCACCTCCCTGGTTCAAGCAATTCTTCTGCCTCAGTCTCCGGAGTAGCTGGGACCACAGGTATGTGCCACCGCGCCCAGCTAATTTTTGTATTTTTAGGAGAAACAGGGTTTCACCATGTTGGCCAGGATGGTCTCCATTTCTTTTTATTTATTTATTTATTTATTTATTTTAGAGATGGGGTTTCACCATATTGGTCAGACTGGTCTTGAACTCCTGACCTCAGGTGATCCACCCGCCTCGGCCTCCCAAAGTGCTGGGATTACAGGTGTGAGCCACCACGCCTGGCCAGGAAACTTTTTAACTTGAATCTTTTCAAAAAAAAAAAAAAGATTTTCTCGCCGGGTGCGGTGGCTCAAGCCTGTAATCCCAGCACTTTGGGAGGCCAAGGCGGGTGGATCACGAGGTCAAGAGATCGAGACCATCCTGGTCAACATGGTGAAACCCCGTCTCTACTAAAAATACAAAAAATTAGCTGGGCATGGTGGCGCGTGCCTGTAATCCCAGCTACTCAGGAGGCTGAGGCAGGAGAATTGCCTGAACTCAGGAGGCAGAGGTTGCGGTGAGCCAAGATTGTGCTGTTGCACTCGAGCCCGGGTAACAAGAGCGAAACTCCGTCTCAAAAAAACAAACAAACAAACAAACAATTTTCTCACACCTAAGTATTGAGGCATCTTTATTGAGACAGAGTCCTATTAAGTAGCTTACTCAGGGTCACAGAAATTGGGCTGAATTTAAAACACTTAACTAAAAATACAGCAAGTTTTCTCCATTGTACCTCAAAGCCCAAGTTCAAATACTATTCCTACCAGTTTTGGATCCATGCTTCTCTGATTCCTTGCCCTGTGACCTTGGGCAAGTTTTAAATTATCTGTGCCTCAATTTTCTCATCTGTAAAGTGAAGAAAATAGAAACCACTTCATGGCTTTTTTTTTTTTTTTTTTTTTGAGACAGAGTCTTGCACTGTTGCCCAGACTCCCAAGTTCAAGCAATTCTGCCTCAGCCTCACCAGCAGCTGGGACTACAGGTGCATGCCATCATGCCTCGATAATTTTTATATTTTTAGTAGAGATAGGGTTTCACCATATTGGTCAGGCTGGTCTCAACCTCCTGACCTCATGTTCTGCCCGACTCCGCGTCCCAACATGCTGGGATTATAGGTGTGAGCCACCATACTCGGCCATAGCATTGTTTTGAAGAGTTAATTTATGTAAAACAGAAGGTTTTTGGGCACATAATAGCTCTCTGTGCTAGCCACTGTTACAGTTTTGTGAACTTGAACTATGGGCTTTATCTGTCCTGAATATGTTTCTCATTCATTCATCATCATTATTATTATTATTATTATTTCGAAATAAGAGTCTTGCACTGTCGCCCAGACTGGAGTGCCATGGCGTGATCTTGGCTCACTGCAACCTTTGCCTCCCGGGTTCCAGCTATTCTGCCTCAGCCTCCCAAGTAGCTGGGATTACAGGAATGCACCACCTTGTCCCAATAATGTTTGTATTTTTTTAGTAGAGACCAGATTTCACCATGTTGCCCAGGCTGGTCTCTAACTCCTGACCTCAGGTAATCTGCCCGCCTGGGCCTCCCGAAGTGCTGGGATTACAGGTGTGAGCCACCACTCCAGCTCATTCAGCAATTACTTTACCAATGTGGAATATGCGCAGCATTATTCTAAGCTCTACAGCAATAATCTATCGACAAAGCAGGGTTTACCAATGTGCTTCTTGGAGATTGATTGCCTGGGAATGGTTGACTGGGACCAGTTTGCAGTTGCTGTGAGGTGGCTGCCCTTGAGAGAGCACAGCTGAGTGAAGTCGGCTTTGATGACCAAGAATGCTCCTCCCAGGGGTGGAGAAACCTCGGCAGGGGGCGGCATGTGAGCACCAGAGGGCAGGGATTTCACTGAAATGAAAGCGGAAGCAAACAGCCTTCGAGCAAAACCATTTCGGGTCTGGCTGGGGCTGGGAGACACCAAAAGCCCTTCAGAAGGTACAAACAGGAGTTCAGCTGTGGTGGATTCTGCCACTGTGCCCAGCTCTGAAGCCTCAGCTCTTGCCAAACAGACTGGAGACCTATGTCAGCCCCGAAGGATGGCGTAAGTGAGGAGAAGGGAGTTGGGAGGTGGGGAAACAGGAGCGATCCTCTTGGCTAGGAACCCGCAGGTATCTCAGGGCCTGGTGGCCAAGCCTCTCCCTGCTCATCTGAGACCGGCTCAACGGCTGGGGAGAAACGCGAGGCCGGAATGACCTCCCCACTATGCAGTTGGTCCCCTAACCTATTGCCTCGGACAGCAGGAGCTCATTAAATCCTGTGTCTGTGTGCACTTCTCTGGAGAGAGAATTGTAGTTTCCATCAGATACTCAAAGGGTTCTGTGACCCAAATAAGAATTGTTCTAGGCAGGGCGTGGTGGCTCACGCCTGTAATCCTAGCACTTTGGGATACCTGGGCAACACTGTAAAACCCTGTCTGTACTAAAATACAAAAAATTAGCTGGGTGTGGCGGCATGCTTCTGTAATTCTGGCTACTTGGGAGGCTGAGACAGGAGAATTGCTTGAACCTGGGAGGTGGAGGTTGCAGTGAGCCCAGATTGCACCATGGCACTCCAGCCTGGATAACAGAGTGAGACTCCATCTCAAAAAAAAAAAATTGTTCTAGTAACTTAACACATCCTTATCCCCTCCTGAGGTCTCCCGTCTACCAAAATTCTCCTCCTCCTGATAATTCCATCTCATCTTAACCTTGGGCCCTCTCCAGGTTCAGGAAGAAGTTTTCCTCCTCTGGGAGCTAAACTTCCCTCTCCCTTGGTCTACCCTTTCCTGACATAAATGTCCCTTCCTGTGCTAGACTAAGCTCTAGGAGGACTGGTGCCCTGTCTACCCTGCTCATCACTCATCCCCAGTGCCCAGCACAGTGCCTGGCATATACACCCTGCATGTTTCCTGGCATGCTGCAGGCACTCAGTAAACACTGTTGAATAAATGAATCTCATCCTCTCTCCACTTTCTTCAGCCTATCCCTCCCTGATACCACGCTGTCACAAACACACAGATCCCTCACCAGGAAATGTTTCATTTGCCCCTCAAGTATAATAAGATCCCCGAGCCAGTTATGGTGGCCCATACCTGTAATCCCAGCACTTTGGGAGGCCAAGGTGGGCAGATTGCCTGAGCTCAGGGGTTCAAGACCAGCCTGGGCAACATGGTGAAACACCGTCTCTACAAAAAATACAAACATTAGCCAGGTGTGCTGGTGCCCACTTGTAGTCCCAGCTACTTAGGGGGCTGAGGCAGGAGAATAGCTTGTACCCAGGAGGTCAAGGCTGCAGTGAGCCATGTTCACACCACTGCACTCCAGCCTGGGTGACAGCAAGACACCCTCCCCACCCCCCCACCCCCGCTCCCATGTCTAAGACAAAAAAAAAAAGGAGCTATCCTGCCTCTTTTCAAATCCTGCTTTATTCCATTGCGTAGTGCAGGGAAATCATTAGCCATTTTTTTTTTTTTTTTTTTTTTTTTTTTTTTTTTTTTTTTTTTTAAACAGGGTCTCGGCGTGTTGCCCAGGCTGGAGTGCAGTGGCTATTCACAGGCACGATCCCACTATTGATAAGCACTGGAGTTTTGACCCGCTCCGTTTCCAACCTGGGCTGGTTCACCCCTCCTTAGGCAACCTGGTGTTCCCCCGCTCCCAGGACGTCACCATATTGATGCCGAACTTAGTGCGGACACCCGAATGGCATAGCGCACTGCAGCCCAGAACTCCTGGGCTCAAGCGATCCTCCCACCTCGGCCTCCCGAGTACCTGGGACCACAGGCACGCGCCACAAAAAAAAAAAAACAACTCATTGCACTGTTTAACACCTACTGAGCATTCAATATGTGTTTCTTATTATTAATATTATTGCCAACCTTTTCAGAACTCCAATTCCCCAAGGACAATCTGTTTTTTTTTTTTTGTTTTTTTTTTTGAGACGGAGTCTTGCTCTGTTGCCCAGGCTGGAGGGCAGTGGCTTGATCTCAGCTCACCACAACCTCTGCCTCCCGGCTTCAAGCAATTCTCCTGCCTCAGCCTCCTGAGTAGCTGGGATTACAGGCGTATACCACCACACCCAGCTAATTTTTGTATTTTTAGTAGAGGTGGGGTTTCACCATGTTGGTCAGGCTGGTCTCCAACTCCTGACCTCGTGATGCACCCACCTCAGCCTCCCAAAGTGCTGGGATTTCAGGCATAGGCCACCAAGCCTGGCCCCCAAGGACAATCTTAATTCACCCACACACTCCTACCTCTCTGCTAAAACTGCTGGGTTTTTTTTGTTTGTTTGTTTTTTGTTTTAATCCGGTTCTCATTCTTCCAGACTGGAGTACAGTACAATCTTGAACTCCAGTGTTCAAGAGATCCTCCCAACTCAGCCTTCCAAGTAGCTAAGACTGTAGGCAGGCACCACCATGCCTGGCCAATTTTATTAAAATTTTCTAGCCGGGCGCGGTGGCTCAAGCCTGTAATCCCAGCACTTTGGGAGGCCGAGGCGGGTGAATCACGAGGTCGAGAGATCGAGACCATCGTGGTGAACATGGTGAAACCCCGTCTCTACTAAAAATACAAAACATTAGCTGGGCATGGTGGCACGTGCCTGTAATCCCAGCTACTCAGGAGGCTGAGGCTGAGGCAGGAGAATTTCTTGAACCCAGGAGGCGGAGGTTGTGGTGAGCCGAGATCGTGCCATTGCACTCCAGCCTGGGTAACAAGAGCGAAACTCCGTCTCAAAAAAAAAAAAAAATTTTTTTTCTTTGTAGAGATAGTTCTTCAACATGTTGCCCGGGCTGGTCTTAAACTCTTGACCTCAAGTGATCCTCTGCCTTGGCTTCCCAAAGTGCTGGGATTACATACATGGCCCTCTTAAATGGCCTTTGTATATTAAAAGGAAGGGAGAAATGAAGGAAAGACGCTGGCCAGAAAATTGTATTTTTCTTTTTTTTTTTTTTTTTTTTTTGAGACGGAGTTTCACTCTTGTTACCCAGGCTGGAGTGCAATGGCGCGATCTCGGCTCACCGCAACCTCCGCCTCCTGGGTTCAGGCAATTCTCCTGCCTCAGCCTCCTGAGTAGCTGGGATTACAGGCACGCGCCACCATGCCCAGCTAATTTTTTGTATTTTTAATAGAGGCGGGGTTTCACCATCTTGACCAGGATGGTCTCGATCTCCTGACCTTGTGATCCACCCGCCTCGGCCTCCCAAAGTGCTGGGATTACAGGCTTGAGCCACCGCGTCCGGCTGAAAATTGTATTTTTCTAAAAAAAATTGCACAAAATAGCCAGGCACAGTGGATAACGCCTGTAATCCCTGCACTTTGGGAGGCTGGGGCGGGGAGATCACAAGGTCAGGAGTTCAAGACCAGTCCAGCCAACATAGTGAAATCCCATCTCTACTAAAATACAAAAATTGGCCAAGAAATGGTGGCATGTGCTTGTAGTCCCAACTACGCAGGAGGCTGAGGCAGGAGAATCACTTGAATCTGGGAGGTAGAGGTTGCGGTGAGCAGAGATCCTGCCACTGCACTCTAGCTTGGGCAACAGAGTGAGAATTCATCTGAAAAGAAGAAAAAAACAAAAAAACAAAAACGGGTGCAGTGGCTCATGCCTATAATCCCAGCACTTTGGGAGGCCAAGGTGGGCGACTCACAAGATAAGGAGTTCAAGAAAAGCCTGGCCAATATGGTGAAACCCTGTCTCTAGTAAAAATACAAAAATTAGCTAGGTGTGGTGGCATGTGCCTATAGTCCCAGCTACTTGGGAGGCTGAGGCAGCAGAATCATTTGAACCCAGGAGGCAGAAGTTGCAGTGAGCTGAGATTGTGCCACTGCACTCCAGCATGAGCAACAGAGCAAGACTCTGTCTCAAACCGAAGGAAAAAAAAAAAAAAAAAAAAAAGGCTGGGCACAGTAACTCATGCCTATAAAATTCCAGCCCTTTGAAAGGCCAGGCAAAGTGGATGGGAGGCTGAGGCAGGAGAATTGCTTGAACCCAGGAGGCAGAGGTTGCAGTGAGCCGAGATTGCGCCACTGCACTCCAGCCTGGCAACAGAGTGAGACCCTGTCTCCAAAAAAAAAGGCCAGGCATGATGACAGGTACCTGTAATCCCAGCTACTTGGGAGGCTGAGGCAGGAGAATCTTTAACCCAGGAAGCGGAGGTTGCTGTGAACCAAGATCACGCCACTGTTCTCCAGCCTGAGCAACAGGGAGAGACTCCATCTTAGAAGAGGGGGGAGAGGCCGGGCGCGGTGGCTCACGCCTGTAATCCCAGCACTTTGGGAGGCTGAGGCGGGTGGATCACGAGGTCAAGAGATCGAGACCATCCTGGTCAACATGGTGAAACCCCATCTCTACTAAAAATACAAAAAAAAATTAGCTGGGCATGGTGGCGGGTGCCTGTAATCCCAGCTACTCAGGAGGCTGAGGCAGGAGAATTGCCTGAACCCAGGAGGCGGAGGTTGCGGTGAGCCAAGATCGCGCCATTGCACTCCAGCCTGGGTAACAAGAGCGAAACTCTGTCTCAAAAAAAAAAAAAAAAAAAACAGCCGGGCGCGGTGGCTCAAGCCTGTAATCCCAGCACTTTGGGAGGCCGAGGCGGGTGGATCACAAGGTCGAGAGATCGAGACCATCCTAGTCAACATGGTGAAACCCCGTCTCTACTAAAAATACAAAAAAATTAGCTGGGCATGGTGGCGCGTGCCTGTAATCCCAGCTACTCAGGAGGCTGAGACAGGAGAATTGCCTGAGCCCAGGAGGCGGAGGTTGCGGTGAGTGGAGGTTGCGGTGAGCCGAGATCGCGCCATTGCACTCCAGCCTGGGCAACAAGAGCGAAACTCCGTCTCAAAAAAAAAAAAAGAAGAGGGGGGGGGAAAAAAAGCCAGCATGATGGCACATGCCTGTTAGCTACTTGGGAGGCTGAGATAGATGAGAGGATCGATTGATTCTGAGAAGTTGAAGCTGCAGTGAGTCATGGTCGAGTAACTGTACTCCAGCCTGGGTGACATTGAGACTTTGTCTCAAAAAATGAAACAAAACAAAAACATGGGTAGATTTGCATAGGGCAAAACTTGGTTGGGTTTTTTTTTTTTTTTTTTGAGAAGGAATTTTGCTCTTGTTGCCCAGGCTGGAGTGCAGTGGCACAGTCTCAGCTCACTGCAACTTCCACCTCCTGAGTTCAAGCGATTCTACTGCCTCAGCCTCCCAAGTAGCTGGGACTACAGGCACGCGCCACCATGCCCGGCTAATTTTGTATTTTTTTTTTCTTTTTGTTTTTTTCAAGCAACAACATGCAGGGGTTTTTTCGTAGAGGTGGGGTTTCTTCATATTAGTCAGGCTGGTCTCAAACTCCCGACCTCAGGTGGTCAGACCGCCTCAGCCTCCCAAAGTGCTGAGATTACAGGCGTGAGCCATCATACCCAGCCAGGAGAGATTTACTTTAGCAGGGACCTGGTCTCTCCAGTGCATCAGAGTCCCCACCACTCTCTGTCCTCCTACATGGCTCTATTAACTCATTGATGTCATCTAACTGACCCTTAAAGGCACTGTGTTGGCACTCTCTGATTTACAGAAATACGAATAACTAAGGGTCTTCATAAACCAGCATAATTTGGTCAAGCTCTAGTTTTCCTCTGCTAAAAATAGAACAAACTCACACTGAATTTCTTTGGTGCCCTCTGTAACGTGCTCCTTTGCTGTCATTCATTCACTTCATTTATTCATTCGACACACTTGTACTAGAGACATCTTTTGTGCCAGTGACCTTGCTGGACACTGGGAATACAGAGATGGTCAGAACAGAGTCCTGTCTTTCCAAGGACCTCATGCTTCTCTGAGCTGACCTTATTTATCAGGATTCCTAACCACAAGGTGAGCTCTGCTCCATATCGCAAACAAAGGTGCATTTATTGGTATCCCTGGTGTCACTTCCCTGCCTATGATGTCAGCTCTCTCTGGACCCACTCCAGATCACACCCAGCCTAAAGGGCTGCTTGGTGTACAGTGGAAAGTGGGGCAGTCAATGGACAAACTAGAAGATGAGTAAGCTACCTCCCCACCCTGGGCTTCATGTCTTCACTGTAAAGCACAGGCCAGCAGGGTGGGCTCTGGAGTCAGATAGCCTAGGACCACATGACTTTGGGCAAGTCATTTAACCTTTCTGAGCTTTAATTTCCTCATCTATAAAATAAGGATTGGTTGGGTGTGGTGGATTACATCTGTAATCCCAGCCCTTTAGGAGACTGAGGTGGGTGGATCATCTGAGGTCAGGAGTTTGAGACCAGCCTGGCCAACATGGTGAAAACCTGCTTCTACTAAAAATACAAAAATTAGCCAGGCATGTTGGTGGGTGCCTGTAATCCCAACTACTCGGGAGGCTGAGGCACGAGATTTGCTTGAACCTAGGAGGTGGAGGCTGCAGTGAGCTAAGATCATGTCATTGCACTGCAGCCTGGGAGACAAAGCAAGACTCCATCTCACACACACACACACACACACACACACACACACACACACACAAATGGGCGGGGCATGGGGCTCACGCCTGTAATCCCAGCACTTTGGGAGGCCCAGGCAGGTGGATCTCAAAGTCAGGAGTTCGAGACCAGCCTGCCCAACATGGTGAAACCCCGTCCTCACTAAAAATACAAAACTTAGCTGGGTGTCGTGGTGCATGCCTGTAATCACAGCTACTCAGGAAGCTGAGGCAGGAGAATCACTTGAACCCAGGAGGTGGAGGTTCCAGTGAGCCAAGATCCAACCATTGCACTCCAGCCTGGGCAACTGAGACTCCATTAAAAATAATAATAATAATAATAATAATAATAATAATAATAATAATAAAATAAATAAAATGTGAGAATGGAATGAAATAATTCATCAGAGGGTTTAGCACAGTGCCTGGCATATAGTAAGTACTTAGCAAATGTTAACAGTATTACTGTATGACATTTTGCAACTAGTCTCTGCTCCTCTTGGAGGTGTCCCTAATTGGGTTAACCCCTTTGGATTGTCTCTCCTCCAAACTCTGGCTGCCCTTCACAATCAGGCATGTGATTGTTGACTACCTTGAGCACTGTTTGGCCAGCCTGAGGACTATGTACGCTTATCTTCCACTGCCCCGTCAGTGCCCAGCACTTCCTAGCAGGAGCTCAGTGTGTGTTGAACTCTAGATCTGTGATCAGGAACAAGTCATGGCTGCTGCAAAGGCTCCTGCCCTTTCAAGAACAGCTGAGATGATGCCAACTGAGCCCTGAGTGGAGGGGGTCAGGACCAGCCCAGGGCAGCATAAGGGGGTTGGGTTGTACTGGAGCTTCGCATCAACTTTGCTTCTGGAGAGTCCAGGATAGGCCCCCATTCCCCTGGGCTTGTGGAGTCTCCTCTGGAAGGGCAGGTAGAAGTCTGGTTGTTTCCTTCTGTTCCAGCAGGCCCTCCATGCCCTTCTGGAAGAGCAGGCCAGACTCAAGATGAGGCTGCAGGAGCTGCAGCAGCAGAGAAAGGAGGTCGGGGACTCCCCCAGAGACAAGGTAAGGTGGGAGACCTGGTGGGGTTCGGTAAAAAGGAGCTGGTGAGGCCGGGCATGATAGCTCACACCGGTAACCTATAATCCCAGCACTTTGGTAGGCCATGGTGGGCTGACCACTTGGGGTTAGGAGTTGGAGACCAGCCTGACCAACGTGGTGAAACCCTGTCTCTACTAAAAATACAACAATTAGGCTGGGCGCAGTGGCTCATGCCTATAGTCCCTCCTGAGTTATATTTTTTTTTTAGTAGAGACGGGGTTTCTCCATGTTGGTCAGACTGGTCTCGAACTTTTGACCTCAGGTGATCCACCTGTCTTGGCCTCCCAAAGTGTTGGGATTATAGCCATGAGCCTCCCAGGACAAATTAAGATGTTGTATGTAAATTGCCCGGTATGGACCAGACCACTCTTCTTTTTTTTTTTAAAGACAGTTTTTGGCCGGGCGCGGTGGCTCAAGCCTGTAATCCCAGCACTTTGGGAGGCCGAGGCGGGTGGATCACGAGGTTGAGAGATCGAGACCATCCTGGTCAACATGGTGAAACCCCGTCTCTACTAAAAAATACAAAAAACTAGCTGGGCGTGGTGGCGCGTGCCTGTAATCCCAGCTACTCAGGAGGCTGAGGCAGGAGAATTACCTGAGCCCAGGAGGCGGAGGTTGCGGTGAGCTGAGATCGCGCCATTGCACTCCAGCCTGGGTAACAAGAGCGAAACTCTGTCTCAAAATAAATAAATAAATAAATAAATAAATAATAAAAAAAATAAAGACAGTTTTGCTCTTGTTGCCTAGGCTGGAATGCAATGGTGTGATCTTGGCTCACTGCAACCTCTGCGTCTCAGATTCAAGTGAATCTCCTGCCTCAGCTCCAGGCTAGCTGAGATTACAGGCGCGCGCCACCATGCCTGGCTAAGTTTGTGTTTTTAGTAGAGATGGGATCTCATCATGTTGGTCTGGCTGGTCTCGAACTCCTGACCTCGGGTGATCCTCCTGCCTTGGCCTCCCAAAGTACTGGAATTACAGAGGTGAGCCACCCTGCCTGGGCCTCATCCACTCATTTATCTGGCTTTTCTTTCAGTAAATGTATTTATCCCCAGCACTCAGTTATCAATGGAATGGAATTGGGGATGCCTTCCTCCTAGGTGGGAATGAGAAACACTCCTACTCCCCTCCCCACTTCCAGGTCTTATTTTCAGTGCCGAAGATCCCCTTGGTATTCCGAGGACACACCCAGCAGGACAGCGAAATGCCTAAGTCTTTAATTTCCAATTTGAGGATCCACTGCCCTCTGCCTGCAGGCTCTGCTCTGGTCACCTTTGATGACCCCAAAGGTGAGCTCTTGGGGAGTGTCAGGAGACAGGTGGGGAGGATTCCCAGTACTGACCCTGTTTCCCCACCACCCAGTGGCTGAGCAGGTGCTGCAGCAAAAGGAGCACACGATCGACATGGAGGAGTGCCGGCTGCGGGTGCAGGTCCAGCCCTTGGAGCTGCCCATGGTCACCACCATCCAGGTGACAGAATGGCAGAATCCTGGGACATGCAAAGGGTGCCATGCACCTCGGGCTGGGGAAGTGGAGCTGTGTCTGGGACCACCCCTTGCTGTCTCCTGCTAGGTGTCCAGCCAGATGAGGAGCCAGAGGGTGTTAGTCAGTGGATTTCCTGCCACCCTCAGTCTGAGTGAGGAGGAGCTGTTGGACAAGCTAGAAATCTTCTTTGGCAAGACTAAGAACGGGGGTGGCGATGTGGAGGTTCGGGAGCTGCTGCAAGGGAGTGTCACGCTGGACTTTGCTAAGGATGGAGGTAAGGGTCATGCCGACCTCCTGCAGGGGAAATGAGGGTACAGGGTGCAGAAAATGAGGGTTCAGGGAGTGGAGAGAGCTTGATGCTAAAGGTCCACCCCTCCTTGTTCCCCACAGTGGCCCAGCGCCTGTGCCAGATTGGCCAATTCAGAGTGCCACTGGGTGGGCAGGAAGTCCCTCTGAGAGTCTCTCCCTGCATGAATGGGGAGATCCAGAAGGCTGAGGTAAGTAGGAAGGTGGTTAACAGGGTCTGGGCTGGGTAACCTGTTTGCCTGTCAGGAACTTGCCCAATGAAGGATCAGAGACCCCAAACCCCACTGACCTACCCACTGCCTGCCCTGCCCCCTACCCCCCACGCCTTACTCCCATGACCTTTGCCATCTCTTGGCTACTTTTCCAGATCAGGTTGAAGCCAGTGTCCCGCTCTGTGCTGGTGCTCAACATTCCTGATGTCCTGGATGGCCCGGAGCTGCATGACGTCCTGGAGATCCACTTCCAGAAGCCCACGCGGGGGGGCGGGGAGGTAGAAGCCCTGACAGTCATACCCCAAGGACAGCAGGGCCTAGCAGTCTTCACTTCGGAGTCAGGCTAGGGCCTCCCTTCTCATCCTCCCTGCCCCCTCCCAAGGTTCTCATGCCAGGCTGGACTTGGGTACCTATGTAGGAGGTCTTTCCATTCACCAACAGCGGGGAGGGATTCCACATTGCAAAACACCGCTGAGAACAGTAAAAAGCCAGCATGGCATGACGTTCTTCCTCATTTCACTCATGAAAGGAAACCTGGTTTGGGAATGGAAGGAGGCAGGGGGATGGGAAGGAGGCAGGGGGATGGGAAGAAGCCCAGATCTTCCGCCAGCACCGCTGCCTTCCAGGAGCTCACCTTGCCCTCCACTCTCAGAGGTAAACAGCAGGAGCCAGGGTTTGGCTTTTTATTGACACAAACACAAAGGCAGCTGTGGTAATGGGGTGGGGTACACAAAAGCCGAGATCGCACTTCACACATTTAGTCCTCATTTAGACAATGAGGAGGCTGAGCCTGTCCCCCCACCTCCCATTGCAGTGGTTGGGGCGATAACTCTCCCTAATCCTAGCTCAGTGAGCAGAGGGAGTGACCTCCCTACCCAGGAAGTCCCCATTTTGGTCACAGTGGCCCAGGTCCTGACCATCCCCCTCTGCACTCCCCTGCTCCATCTCCCCACCCATGTAAACAAAAGTTTTGGGCTGAGTTTGATAAGCTGCCTCTGTTTTGAGAAGGCAGTGGGGCCTCCCCTAACTGCAAGGGGAATGTGCTTGGATTTTTACTTTGGTCCCAGAACAAGAAACAGACAGCACTGCCTTTCAGACCTCTGGCTGGCAAATGCCACACATATCTGCAAGGCTGAGGAAGCTTCCCCGCCTTTCTCCTCAACCACCACGCAGACAGGACACGGCACAGACCTCGATGAGGGCACCTGTTTTTGCCCTGCTCCCCAGGAGGCTCGGGGCTGCCCCCACCCAATGGCACACAGATTTTTGGCAGTGTTGTGGGACTGGGGAGGAGTGAAACCCCAGCTCCACCAGAACAAGGAAGGCACTGGGGAGAACAGGGGTGGAGAAGGAGGTGGGAGACAGGGTCCTCCCTCCGCCCCACCACACACACACAAGCACAGGTTTTCATTGCTAAGGCACTGAGAACAAATCCAGAGAACTCAGTGAAGGGTGGGGGCTCTGTATCCCTCCTAGAGTTGTGACCTAGGGGAGTAGGTCAGATTCCTGCCCTGTTGTTAAGAGGCAGCCTTGGTTAAGAATGGCAGAAAACCTGGAGATGGAAGAAGCCCAATTGTGCTTAAGAAGTTGGGAACAGAGGACAAAGTGGGGACTGGTCAAGCCCAGAGGTGGGCGCTGGTTGGCCCAGGCTGAAGGGACACTAGGGAGAGACAGGTACATGCTGGACTCACAGAGATTGGCCCCATATCCTGAGCTGACATTTCTATTCTCTGGGGAGGCGGCGGGGCAGGGTGGGAGGGAAGATGAGGCAGAGGTGGAAGCTCACAGAACACAACAGTGAGGACTGGCGAATCTTGGCACAAAAGCAGCACAGCAGGCCCGGGGAAAGGGTGGGGGCAGGAAGCAGCCAGCCTCCCTCTGACCCTCCCTGTCCCCTTGGCAGGGCCCAGACATCCAAATGGTCACTTCCCAACCTCTTCAGAGGTCAGGAAGCAGGGAGGGGCAGGGGAGCACGGTCATCACCACAGAGACCTTCGGGGGAGGGAGGGCAGAGCACTATGAGAGGCTGAAATGCAAGTCTGGTGGTCAGCAGAATGCAGCTTCCTGACTTCTCCCTTCACTGGTCTCGAGGGTCTCACAGCCCCTTCGCCTAGTTCTTCTCTGGCCCTGGAACCAGGAGGACCTTGCCCACATTCTTCTTCTCTTGCATCTGCTTCATGGCATCAGCCACCTGGGGAGGAAGGAAAGCTTCGGCTCCCAGTGCTATCCAGCCCCCGGGCAACAAGCGCCAATTCGATGCAGGCAGCCCTCCTCTTCCCCAAGAATCAGCCCCTCGGGACCCCAGCCTGCATGAGCCCTACCCAAGCCCTCCCGGCAAAGTCCTCACAATTCACCTTCTCGAAGGGCCAGACCGAGTCAATGCGGGGCTTGATGTGGCCCTGGTTGTACAGAGCCAGGAGGCGGGTCACCACGCCACCGACCAGCTCCATTTCACCCTCCAGGTAGCCCAGGTGGAAGCCACACACAGCCCGGTTGGCCTGAAGCAGCTGCAGAGCTGTCACGCTGAACTGATTCCACCATGTGCGGGCCAGGGCCATCAGGTTCCGTTTGGGGCCCGTCAGCAGGTTGGCCATTCCTGAGGGACAAGGTGATATGGCCTGTGAACCGAGGCGCCAGGCACATCCCTGTGTGCCTGACTCTGTGCTCTCTGTTCCCTGTCATCCCCTTGTGATTCTCTGTACTTGCACCAGGGGGTGATAGGCTAATTCTCAAACTGCTGGTTACCAGGCCCAAACCAACCCTGGCTGACTTAAAATTGCTCTAGGGGCCAGGCACTGTGATTCACACCTGTAATCCCAGCAGTTTGGGAGGCCGAGGTAAGAGAATCACTTGAGGTCAGGAGTTCAAGACCAGCCTGGCCAACATGGTGAAACCTTGTTTCTACTAAAAATTCTAAAATTAGCCGGGCACAGTGGCATGCTCCTGTAGTCCTAGCTACTCGGGAGGCTGAGGCAGAAGAATTGCTTGAACCCAGGAGGTAGAGGATGCAGTGGGCTGAGATTGTGCCATTGCACTCCAGCCTGGGTGACAGAGTGAGACTTGGTCTTAAAAAAAAAATTAGCCGGCCGGGCGCGGTGGCTCAAGCTTGTAATCCCAGCACTTTGGGAGGCCGAGGCAGGTGGATCACAAGGTCAAGAGATCGAGACCATCCTGGTCAACTTGGTGAAACCCCGTCTCTACTAAAAATACAAAAAATTAGCTGGGCACGGTGGCGTGTGCCTGTAATCCCAGCTACTCAGGAGGCTGAGGCAGGAGAATTGCCTGAACCCAGGAGGCGGAGGTTGCGGTGAGCCGAGATCGCGCCATTGCACTCCAGCCTGGGTAACAAGAGCGAAACTCCGTCTCAAAAAAAAAAAAAAAAAAAAAAATTAGCCAGGCGTGGAGACGGGCGCCTGTAATCCCAGCTACTCAGGAGACTGAGGTAGAATTGCTTGAATCAGGGAGGTGGATGTTGCAGTGAGCCAAGATCATGCCACTGTGCTCCAGGATGGGTGACAGACTGAAACCCTCTCTCAAAAAAAAAAAAAAAAAAAAAAAGCTCTAATCTTCTTGTATTTGTTTGTTTGTTTGAGTCAGGGTCTCACTCTGTTGCCCAGGCGGGAGTACAGTGCTACTGTGCCTGGCTAATTTTTGTATTTTTTTGTAGAGATGAGGTTGCATCATGTTGCCCAGGCTGGTCTTAAACTCCTAGGCTCAAGCGCTCCACCTGCCCTGGCCTCCCAAAGTGCTGGGATTACAGGCATAAGCCACCATGCTTGGCTTATTTTGTTGTATGAAGTACTTTTTTAAATGAAAATGTACCTTGCCTAAGACAACTCAGGGAGGCAGGACAGAAAGAAGGCAGGCTGGTTGTTCAAGAACAAATCCCCAAACAAAAATGCAGAATTGGGCCAGGCACGGTGGCTCACAACTGTAATCCCAGCACTTTGGGAGGCTGAGGCAGCTGGATCACCTGAAGTCAGAAGTTCAAGCCGGGCCAACATGGTGAAACCACACCTCTACTAAAAATAAATTAGCTGGGCATGGTGGTGGACACCTGTAATTCCAGCTACTTGGGAGGGTGAGGCAGGAGAATCACTTGAACCCGAGAGGTGGAGGTTGCAATGAGCTGAGATCGTGCCATTGCACTCTAGCCTGGTGACAAAAGCAAAACTCTGTCTCAAAAAACAGAATGTAAGGCTGGGCACGGTGGCTCAGACCTGTGATCCCAGCACTTTGGGAGGCCCAGGTGGGCAGATCACCTGAGGTTGGGAGTTTGAGACCAGCCTGACCAACATGGAGAAACCCCATCTCTACTAAAAAAAAAAAAAAATAGTCAGGTGTAGTGGCGCATGCCTGTAATCCCAGCTACTCAGGAGGCTGAGACAGGAGAATCACTTGATCCCAGGAGGCGGAGGGTGCAGTGAGCCAAGCAACAAAAGCAAAACTCCATCTCAAAGAATGTAGAATTTACTATGACTCACATGATAAGTTTTGACAGAGAATGAAAAGAGCTGGCACCCAGGAATCAGCAATCTGAATGCAACATACAGGACCATTCTTAACCCTGCTCGTCTACAGAGCACCTGAGTCCCTACCCCTTCATTCCAAAGCCCTGGACCCCTATGTCCCACTCTTTAGACCCTCCCTCCTGCCCTAACATGCTGTCTCCATCCATGACCCACTAACTCACCATAGGTGACGACTTTGCCCATGGGTTTGAGGAGGTTGTAGCCCTTGGCAGTATCTGATCCGCCCAGAGGGTCCATGACGATGTCCACTCCTGTCACAGAAAAGAGGAACCCAAGAACAACATTAGGATCCACAGATCTGCAGCTCCCCTCCCTGTCCTGTCCCTCCCTAGCCCCTCCCATGTTCTGCCCCCAACCTTTAGGGGAAATCTTCTTGATCTCATCCACGTAGTCAGTCGTGTGATAGTCGATGGGATGTGTGACCCCATTCTCCTTCAGTGCCTCATGCTTGCTGGCCGAGGCTGTTCCGAACACTGTCACATTCTCCACTGTACGGCACAGCTGCACGGCAGCCATACCCACACCACCTGCAAGCAAGACACCCGTAAGCAGGGGATATGGAGTTGCCCTGGCCACCAACCACTCCATTGTAGCCTCCCAAGGACTCAGCCCGTCACCTTCGCTTTGCCTAGGCTCATTTTAGGGTTCATGTCCAATTTCCATGACTGAGAAGTGATGGAGAGGGTGGCTAGAGAGGTGGGGGTGTGGGGTGAGGGCATGTTGCTAAGGATAACACACCAGACTAGACCTGGTGTCTGAATGTTACCACGGCAACTCTACTGCAGAGGCCTCTGGGTGCCACAGGCCAAGGCAGCCTGGTGTTGCCATGACAACAGTCCAGAGAGGCTGCAGGGAAGGGGTCTGGAAGGAAATCTGGGTGGGGTAAGGAGTGATAAAGGGAGGCCCCCTGTCACCTGCAGCCATGTGTACCAAGACGCTGTGGCCAGGCCGTAGGTTGCCGAAGTCAAAG